CGCAACAAAATTTTAAATTAACTGCTTCCGACATGAGAGAAAACCTGAGATTGAGAAAAACCTACTTTGAGACGCGTGAAAGTCCCCCCCATAAACCCCCATAAACCGTTAAGCAGCTCAAGTGGCGCATCTTGGGGAATGCCAAATTGTGAGTCAATCTCCTTCGATCATCAGCTAGCTCTTGGGATAATTATCATCAAGTTTTTATTTGCCATTGCAATTTTTGGCCACTCAAAGACTGGTTTTATTTTTTGTGGGTTATTTTATTCTATTTTTCCTTGGGGGTTTATTTCTGATTACGGATTTTTCTATATTTAAGTTTTATCTTTTGTGCGCACAACCGGTTCGGACTAAGCTCCAAGAAATCGATGGCTAATATGCCAGGCCGCATTGTTTTGATTGTGATGGAGACAAATAAAAATAATAATCAGCACTGAAAAGGCAAACAAAATGGGAGCAACAAATGATAAGTCAGCACTTTGTATGGGAACGAAAAGAATCAGACCATATTTGGGACATTTTCTAGAGGCATGTATCGATCGAGGGTATCGATCGGTATTAACCTTGACTCTCAGACCAAAGGCGTTATCAATGGCATATAAGCTGATACTTCGGCTCTTTTGTTTTCCCCCAGAAAAAAGTCTTTGTTTGTAGATTGCTTTTCCGCCACACATATATCTTGTATTAAACCATAAATTGATCATAAAACGAAGGCTGCACCCGTTGTAGTCTCTCTCCTATGGGTGGTGCGACGATACTTTGAACAAAAGCTACAATCTTATCTGCCGATCACTTGTTACTCGGAAAATAAAACGAAATAAAACCAAACAAAACCGACCGACTCTGCCCTAACTGATTGACTGACTGAGTGACTGACTGGCGGTCTTTCATTTAATAAAGGCAATGCAAGCGCAAAAACAAGAACATAAAGAACTCAAATATTGTATATAATTAATGGCTGAATAAATCATATTGATAGTCACTTGATGGCTTCCCAGCTGTTTTAATGACAATCGCATATGTACCTACCAACCATTATGAAACCAAGCGAACAATCAATCATTCGCTCAAGTGCAGAGAGTCGTCAGGGTATAAAAACTTAGAAACGCCACCAGTGCTTATAGAGTATCGACAATACTTTCTGTTGTATATATCTCAAGGGTTCTTGTACCCATTTGTCATTTGTACCCCGCACTAGTTACTATACACATATATATATAATATTTCCTATGACATATCTACCGCAAAAACCACAAAGTGGCAGGAAGAGTCACGGAAACTTTACGAGACGAGACCCCTGACTAAAAATCACCAAGAGAGAGAAAAAGAGAGTCCATGACACACTGATGTTATATCTGGTGCAAACTTTGCAAGATGACGGAAAAGAAACCTCATTACTGACTCTGCGGAAATTCCCACTGCTGTCATTAAGTTATGAAACTCTATGCGAGCATTACAGATCGCATAATTATGAGTACACAGAGGAGTAGATCTAGACTAAGACTGTTTTATCTTTGAAATTCTAAAAGCTAGGAATGTTTGGGCGTGGAATAATTACACCAGAGGCAAAAAGTGCACACGTGTGCAGTTGTCTTCTATGCCCATTAGTTGGCAATGTAGAAGGTATATTTGTGATCATAAAATAAGGCAACCCTTTAGAGTCCAAGTCCATTTAAAAACTGTGTTAACTTTATTATATTTTCAACTCCAATTGATTACAGGGTACAGCCCCCTTTGATCATTCTGAGGGGCAAGCATTCTTAGTCGTTTTCTAATGCATTTAAGTTTTTTTTTAAATATTATAAAATGTCACGTTGATAAATACATACGAGTATACGAGTACGAGTATGTGTAGACATGGTGCCATATTTACATATATCCAAAGTGCACGTAGGACCCACAACAAAAATCTTAGATATTAGGGAAATGCAATTAATAATTGCTATAACTGCAATGACAAACTGCATTCACTGCACTTGGCCTTGGCCAGCAGGGCAGAGAGACAGTGCGATAATCAACAGGTGGCTAGACACCTTAACTAGCCACAAAATCAGGCAATAACTTGAGGCATTTGCCATGTTCGGGCAAAACGACTGAAAAAGAGCCCAGCCCCATCCATTAAATTTATCAAGAAATATAAATAAACTTCAATGAAAAGACCACTTAAGACTCGGAACACTTGACGCGGGCTCTTTGCGTACAAAAGTACATGAGTGCACACGGGGGTTATACAAGCACATTTTCAGACACTTTAAGACCCCCAGAACCCCAGGGGTATTACAAAGTTAAATTCTTTGGGGACTTTCCAGCTAATTCCCCGATAAGCAAATGTCTGTGGCGGGGGCACTGGTTAAATGACATGAAAGGATGTGCTTTTTGGCGATATTTGTGTCAAGGATTGGGCAGCACAAGACTGTTGATGTACCCAGTACCCAGTCAGTGTTTACACATTGATAGGAAAGCCATTGCTATTATCTGCAGAACAGTCACGATCCCACAGAAAATAAAGTGTTAGCAATTTGTGAATCATCTGCAAAAGTCATTGCTATCTTAAGGTCAATATTTATTATCAAGTGACCAAGTAAACCCGAAAACCGCAAGAAATCACGAGTCTCTGGGCTTCGCTTTGTTTGCTAATTATTCCAGTATTTTCCGCCATTAACCAATGCTCCAGATAGTGTCGTGGGGAATGCCATAAGCCAGAAATTAAATGTCTCCAGATACACGCAATATCTGAATAGATATTTTCATTTTTTTTTTTTGGATCTTCTTTTTTCTCAGTCACGTACCGCACCGAGTTGTACAAAATTTGTGTTTTTTTTTGGCTGTCACTGATTTGTTTCTGTGTTGTCGTTTGCCGTTTTGTTGTGTTTATCAATTTGCAATTTCCTTTTTTGGAAATTTTAATTAATACTAAAGATAGTGCCAAGCTGCCTGGCTGTCTGTCTGTCTAACTGTCTGTTTGTCTGCCTGTCTGTCTTTCTGTCTGTTTGTTTGTCTGATTACTTAAGCTTAACCTTCGGTTATAATTTTTGTGCGCTTGCACAATTCCATAAATTTTAGCCAGCTGCGGCTAGCAAATAGAACAAGCAACAAATTAAAATTCGAAATAGATTAGAAACGATATCATTAAATTTATGAGCACAGCACACAATTTAGTTGCTCTGACACATTCTCTGGCCGGCTAATTTATGGCTCCGATCGAGGAGTTATTCGAAGACCTTCACCCCGCCGCTCTGAAGTTATTCTTGGGCCATGGCAACTGGACAATGGTTTGTTACTCCCACGATGCTGCAAATTAGTGACTCACCACCAAACAAAGCACAGGCGACGCACAGTGGCCGCGAAGCGAAGTCTGATGTTTCAATTTTGGCATCCACAGATCGCACTGTCCGAGCGGAGATTTACGGGTGGCTTCTTTTAGAGCCCAAGTGCTAAAAAGTGCCATTAAACATTAATTTTTGCATCAATACAGCGGCACAGGCAGAGACGTAGACGTGTGCTCGTGTTGTGATCATTACTCAGGTGTGTATGGTTTATTGTGACTGGAATTGGCAATTTGGCTAAGAGCTTTCACCGGCCAGGGGAGTCCCCTGGGGTCCCCGTTAGAATGAGTGGCATAGCAAGCAGCTCGTGACTGGACTGCATGTCAATGCATGTCAATGACCGTTTTCCATATTCGTTTCATTTCGCGCCTACTCTACTTTGTGTTAGATCGTCGAGATACAATCATCGGGTGGGTGGGTGTATGCGTGCATTATCAGCCTGGCTTATCACACACAAAATATTTGCCAAACATAAATAAATGGCGTCCAATACACAGAGTGTATGAGCAGCACAAGCAAAGTGCTGCAGACAAGAAACATTTGAACAGAGACAGCCAAGAACAACTTGCTGTTGTTGACCTTAAAAGCGACCGGGCTAATGCAAATAGTTGGCCAAGGAAGTAATTGCCCACAGCCGGGCCCATGCCATGCCAGCTGCAATAGTGCAATAATATTGCGCATACACTGGCTCAGATATCAGTTATAAATAAAGTCACATGGTAATTAACAATCACCGGCACGTCGTCCACTAATTTCAATATTTGCTGCTGCAGCAACACCACCACCAGCACCAGCAGCAGCACCAGCAGCAGCTGTGCTCTCTGTGTGTTGGTGTTTGTGGCCGAGTTGCTTTGTTCAAACAGGTTCGAACCTGACTAAATATATACAATACATTAAAAGACGTTTACGTAGACGACGGCGGCGGCGGATCACGTGAAAAGTGTAGCCACAACAACCACAACCAAAGCAAATTAGCAACAAAGTAAAGTCTGTTTTTGAGACAAAAGGCAACAAAAACCACGCGCCGTGCCCATTGTGTGGGCTGCCAATTCAAAAGCGCGCCATCATTGCTGGCATGTGGCAACGCTGTCATGTATATTTGGGTATATTTTGCCTATAGATCCGCGGTCACACTGGTAAGCACGTAAACACAGAAAAATCACAGCGGCCAAGATGAAAAACATACAAATTATTTACTGGTTACTAACCTGATTAAATAGAGAGGGGTTAAGCTATTTTTGTTCTCGGTTTCTGAGGTTCCAGTCACACTCGACAAAACAAATCAAGTGAACTATTTATTTCATATCACAAAATATCATGGTATGGCAGCCCGCAGCAACTACGAATTGCACGAGCCTGGCAACGCCACAAAAACGACGTCACATTCGTTTTGTGTTGTTTTTGTTTGAACCTTAATATGTAAATATTCCAATAAAAAGGACTTCTGAAAACTTGCCAATCTTATAAAAAATGTATGTATCTATCGGATAAAATTGTTTGTTTAGAGCTGAGCGTCCAAGCTGGGGAGTAATATTAAACCGAATATCAAAATCGAGGAATATCAATTTGGAATGTTTTGAAAAAAACAATCGATACTATCGTGATAGTATCGGGCTCAAATAATTATTAAAAAACCATTGAAACCTTTTAGGAACTTGTCCATTTGTTTACAAATGTGTCTTCGTATTTTATAGCAGCCAATCCAAACATATCAAAAGCGCAAAAGTTACTATATATGGGACGGCACAAAGTCGGCGCGTATGCTTTCGTCGTACGTATGTATTTAGCTGGTTAAATAGCATCGCGAAATTGCAAAATTGAAAGTGCTGCCAGCGTTAAAAGAGAGAGAGACAGCTCGGGAAAAGTAAAAGGCGCTGCTGGGCTTCTGTGATTCGTGTTTGAAAAGTTGCTCTGGACGGGGGGCTCTGCTCTGGAAAGGGGGAGCCTGCATCTGTGTGGGTTCCGCAGTGCGTGCTGGAGTGACAGTTACCGCTTGACACCGTCCGGGGTGGTGCATAGGTGCCTAGAAGCGCCCTCGGGTGAGTGCACAAATTAATTAAGGCGGAAATCGGTGGCACTCCAAATCACACTACAGTCAGTGTACAGTGTATGTGTGTGTGTGGGAGGGGGTGTTACGTTGTGGCCATGACATCACATTACATCGAAAATAAATGCAACTTTCTAAACGAAACCCCCCCTTGGTAATCTCTATTCTTGCAGTTTCAAGAGATCGTACCTGATATGGATGACTCGGAATTCATGTTCAACGAGAAGCAATCAATACGCGACTCCTCGCGCACCCTCAAGCGCTATGGGAGCACCTGCTGCAACAGCATGAGGAACAACGAGACGCTAATAAGGCACATCGTTGAGAAGACGGACACACTGCAGGGTATTGCTCTGAAATATGGCTGCTCGGTAAGTACTGCCCCCACACAGATCGATCAAAGCCAAGGCACGACATGACCCGACCCACATGCCATTATGGTCACGCCAGACTGTTTACAATTTTAAATGTCAACTTAACTCCATGGAATTGGAATTATATCGATTTAATAATCGCAATTGTTGCCCCCAGCAACTCCACACGTGCCCAGCCCAACGCCAACGAGTGGAGGTCCCTTCACTCACAGTGGCCAGCGTTCTCGGTGCGTCTAATTTACGAGCAAACAGCCACCCCCCCACACACACCTGCCCGCCCACCTGTTGGAGCACATGTGGGGAGATGTGATAAGTCGTCTAGCGACTTGGGCAAACAGAAATGGGACAGACAGATAGACACGAGGAAAGGGACTGGCAGGTGTCTAGATATTTATCAGTCGCCTTATCGCTGGGTATACTGCAACCAAATGTTTTGGAAACTCTCCGACTTGACAGATTGCTGCATATGATTTATGTCCACAATGGGTATCCGAACTGTTTTGTTTAGCTATCAACTGGGACAATATTTGGCTAGAACTATAACCCAGAGCATCTCTAATGATTAAAGCAAGCCGAATACAGCCCGACAAAAATCAGTGGATTCGGCTAGACTTGACACCATTGTCCGTATATGCAGGCGGACAGAACAGACAAAACGACTCATCCATACGATTACCAGTAGCCATCCATCAAGCGTACCGTCGATCGATCGATCAATCAATCAACTGTCACTGGTGCAATTGCAAATAATTGAGTGAATTGAGTGATACTTATACGTCCCCACATACATCTATCGCATTTCAGACGGAACAAATACGCCGCGCCAACCGGCTCTTTGCCTCGGACAGCCTGTTCTTGCGTCAATTCCTGCTGGTGCCCGTGGAAAAGAACTCGCCCTACTACCCACAGGTGGGCGGCGGTGATCCAATCGCTGCCTTTGATGTCCTGGCCACACCTCCGGGCACACCCGATGTGAATGTGCAGCGCGAGGCGCAGCAGAGTGCCAATAGCATGGTGCAGACAAACAGCTACATGAACAGCAGCAGCAGTAGCAGTGGCAGCAGCGGCAGCAGTGGCAGTAGCAGCAATGGCGGCAGTAGCAGCAGCTGCAACACAAGTGGCTCTGCCGCGAGCGTGCGCTCTAACACACAGCAACAGCCTCAACGTCCATACTCGATTGCGGGCGAGCTGCTTGTGCAGGCCAGCGATGAGGATCCGGCCATGATGCACAATCACAGTGCGTGCGGCAGCAAGCAGAGCAAGTCGCTGGACTCGGTGGCAGCCATGACGCCCGAGGAGGAGAATCGCAAGTGCATGAATGACTTCCTCAATAAGATAGACAACACCATTTCCGAGTCGCGCAAATATGTGGAGCGTTCCAAGGAGTAAGCCCAAATAGATCCCTAAATGTTGAGCAACAACTCATTGATTCCCTTTCCAGTCTGGTCAGCAGTCAGAGTGATGCAGATATCTGCATCAGCGCCAGTGCAGACGTGTTTCCACAACGCCGCAATCCGCTGAACAACTCCTACAAGAACAACAATGAACGTCCGCCCCAGTACCAGCGCCACAGTTCGACGGGCAGCGGGAACTCGGACACGGCGCAGCTGTTGAACACAACGCAAACGCGTCGCGTGCAAAACTCGCTGAAGCGTCTCGAGAAGCAGCAGGATGACTTCTTTGAGTTGTAGCAGCAGCAACAGCAGCAGCAGTCGTCGCTGGGATTGAGACTGGCCTAAATTCAACTGAGAGTTAATTTTACAAATTGTTTTTAATTGCCGCGCACGGAATGCAGCGTACTCTAAATGTAATATACGTACTATATATAACTGTTATCTATATCGACACGTAGTACACATACCTTATACCTTACCTTATCCTTTACTCTATACCTTATACCGTATACCTACTATATACTACGATAAAGCATAACTAGAACTAATCGTAAGCGCTGCGCTATACAAACCTGTAGTACGATGACAAGGCCCTTTTGTTGTCCATGTTTTATTATTTGATCTTATATTGTGTCAGCCCTCTGTAATTGCCGCCAATTTTCTGCAAGGTCTGACCAGCCCCCTTACCCCTCTGTCTGTATCCTTTTATCTACTCCTATCCAATTATTTTTATGATTTTCTTCGTGTATGACTAGCTTTAATATCGCACTGTGTATAATTTTAGTTATGAGAATTATTAATGTTAATTGTATATAGTCTGTCTGCTCTTTCGTTTTGGCTACGCTAGTCGAAAAATTGGCCACCCTTCTATAACCACCTAATAACTACTGTGTATATGTAATTTATTTGTTAGCTTTCAAAAGAGTATTAAAAAACCGCAACTGAAAATCTATACCCATTTTTGTGTGTCCTATCCAATTCAAGAAAACCCCAAAACCTCTACGAAACCCATTCATATCTGAGCCAAGTCACGTCGCTATTAGAAAGATGGAGAGAGAGAGAACATTTTATAAAAAATAAATTGAGAATTGTGTTGGAATAAAACAAAAAGTTTTAATCGCAAAAGGAGTTACAAATGTTTTAAAATATATATATATATATTTGCAGCTGCATCAATTTTTCATGTTATGGAACATGGAACAAGATACATTTTCTTACAAATTTTTAATTTTATAAATTGAAAATGGAATTTTTTTTTTTAATAATTATAAAATAAATTTTCTTATTTTTGTTAATTAAAAAGGGAAGAATAATGCTTATTTTTAATTATATTATTTTTTTCTAATTTTGATGAAATATTCATTTTAAATTATAATTTTTGTGTTTTTATTTTAAAAATTAAAAACAAACTATTATTTTCAATTTATATTATACAAACAATTTATTTGTAAGTTAAGTAATATTAAAATTAGAAATTCGTGAACTTTCAAGCCCATCAAAGTTTCCATTCACCAACGGAATTTCCCAGCAAAGGAGCATGCGCCCTCGATCCGTCGGTTGGTTCATGGGTTGTCAGGACAACCGTGACGGGGGACCACACAAATAACAGTAGAGGAAAATACAAGCAAATTTTCTAAGAGAACGAAAGAAACACACTTAAGATGTCCGATCAAGAAATGGATGCCATTATCAAGGCGACCCAACAGGCTTTGGGTAAGTATATTAAAAAGCCGCCACTCACGGAGAAGCTGCTGAAGAAGCCGCCCTTTCGCTTTCTGATGGATGTGTTCAATTCGGTGAGTACCCCTCCAGTCCCATTCCTGCTTCAACTTATAAGACTTCTTCTGCGTGCAGTTCATCAAGCAGACGGGCAACTTTGAGGGCCTGTACACGCCTGAAGAGCAGCAGTTCGAGAATATAGGAGACCGCGAGGCCAAGACACGATTCCTGCAAAAGATGATCGATGCAATCAGTGAGCGCAATGGCTAGGAGGAGTGCCCCCGAACCCCATTGACTGATTCATGTCTCATCCACAGAACTAACAACGAAAAAGGACCTCAAAGTGCGCACCTCAAAGATTGTGGCTGGGCAAGAGGCCGAGCTAACCAACGAACTGCTCCAGGCTATGGCCAGTGTGGCTGAGCAGAGTTTGGACTGGCAAACGGCCGTCGATCAGGTTGTGATGGCTGCCACTGCCCCTGCCCCTGCCACCAGCAAACCGGCCAAGGAAAAGCCCAAAAAGGAGAACAAGCCACCCAGCAAGCAAACCTCACCGGCTGGCAAGGAAGAGGAGACAAAACGAGTAGCCAAGGAGAAGCGCTTGTCGCCCCAAGAGCAGAAGTTGCGCAAGGCCACCGCGCTGGCATCCCGCGCTACGCCAACGGAAAAGGAAAAACTAACTCAGAAGAAGACCAAGGCGACTGCTGGTGAGGCAAAGCTCAGTCGGCAGGGTTCCAAGCAGAAGAGCCCGTCGCCAGTGAAGCAGAAGACAAAGACTAAGGCGCAGACTTCAACCGAGAGCGATACGGTGGCCATGTCCATGTCGCCCGTGCCCGTAGCTGCCGCCAAGCTGCCCTCACCTGAGGCTGTAACCAAGAGACCATCCCCTGAAGCTGTACCCAAGAGACCATCCCCTGAAGCTGTACCCAAGAGACCATCACCTGAAGCTGTACCCAAGAAGGCATCACCTGAAGCTGTAACCAAGAAACCATCACCTGAGGCTGTACTCAAGAAACCATCCCCGTCCTCATCCCCAAAAGCTTCCAAAGAAGCAGCGGTGGCTGATCCTGGCCAGGAAACCCATCTGACAGCGCCTCCAACTGAATCGGAGAGTCGCAAATCATCCAGCAAAAGCCGACGCTCCAGTGCCAGTCAGCGGCAGATGGCAGCAGCCCAAGCGGAACCAGAACAGCCAGCCTCCAATGAGGCCAAGATGCAGCAGCAGCCAGAACCGAGTCCACGGGCAGACTCCAACAACAACCAGGAGGCCAGGCCAGAGGCTGCTCCCCCCCTCACACGGGAGAACTCCAAGGAGACCAATCAGCGGCCACGCACTTCGTTGCGGCCGCCAAGTGCTCGGCCAGCCTCCGCTCGTCCCGGTGCTCCGCGGCGTCGCAATGTGGAGATTGTGCTGCAGCCCAACGATCAGGTTAAGATGTCCGGCATCAATGTGAAGCTGGAGACCTTTGGCGACCTGGACGATGACGGCGAGAATCTGGTGATCATCGAAGACGCCAACTCCCACGACATTGAGAAGGGCGCTGCAGAGGAGCCGCTGCTGGAGGGTCAGCTAGATGCACAGGGTCGATTGGTGCAGCAAATTCTGGAAACACAAAAGGAGCTGGTGCATCAGAGCGCCGAGGCGGAGCAGCCGGCCACTCAACCCAATCAGGGCGCCCGTCAGAGTTCTGCACGGCAAGTGAACGATCTACGCGATCTCATCCAGAGCCTGACCAAGGCGGTGAATCCACTTGGCAAGCTGATGGACTTCATACCCGAGGACATTGATGCCATGCAGCTGGAGCTGACAATGTGGCGCGACGCCTACACACAGGCATCCACAGAGCTGAAGCGTGAGAGGAGCCTCACGGCATCCGCCACAGAGCCCATGAAGCATCAACTGCTGCAGATCGATGCCAGCATTGTGGAGTACGAGGAGCTCATCGACGAGAGTCGCCACAAGATTCTCCAGAACAATGCGCGCATTCTCAAGATGCTAATGGAACAGTGAACCATGCACAGAGTACATCTTGGATAATTGTGTTTAATATGTTTTAATATGTCTATTAAAAATAGATGGATAGACTATGCCGCACGAATATACATAATTACGTAGTATGCAATTTGTAAATATAATATCTAAAAATATCCTGCACATTTGTGTCGGCAAAGGTGCTTGTGTTTTTTCTCTCTTCTCTTTTGTGTATAAATCGTTTTAGATGCAACAAACAAATAAACAGACGGTTCGGCTGCATTCATACATTTCTAAGGTCACTTGGTGTTTGAACCGAAACCGGAAAAAAAAGTGTAACTTTTTCTTAACTTAATGCTTAACACTCCATTCTCCCTAAGCCTTATCATCTGTAGGGGCCTCTGCGGTATCCGAATTGTGGTCGGATGCAGCATCATTTTCTTTCTGCTTGCCATCATCCTCCTCCTGCTCATTCTCCTGGTCCTCGTCCCCTAGCACATACTCGATGACATCATCGATGGGGAAATTGTTGAGCAGAGATCGTATGGATTCATTGTGGATGACCACAGTGAAGAGAAGTTTGCAATATTCACGCATACGATCGCCGTATTCCAGCTCAGCGTAGCTCTCATCCTTGCTCAGATCGTGGCCACAGTTCTCGATCACCTTGCAGAGCATTGTCTCCTCGGAGGTGTTGGGCCAGCCGTACTTCTTGAGGATGTGCGGATCGACCAGCATGTCAATCAGTTTGGCGACATTCTCCTTGAGCTTCAGGTCGCATTCGGTGAGTACATCGCCGCTGAAATCGTCCTCACTTGTCGGCTCCTCCATGTTGTCGGCAATAGCTGCGGCCAAGCTGGCCGCCAGCGATTTGCGCTGCTCCTTCTTGACCACCGGGGAAACCACCGCTTTCTTCGACTCACTTTTGTTGGCCTCCGGCTTGACATTGTCCCCTGTTTCGGGCACCTGTTGGTCGCTGCTAGTGCCCCCATCATCCAGGGGCAGAATGGTGTACGTCTCGTTCTCCAACAAGATGGTCTGGGCACTGCCATCGTCCACCAGAAACTCCCTGACCACAACACCATTGCCATCGGTTTTGCTCGAAATAAGCGAACCGCCCGATGGATCAAGATCCACTATTTCAGTATCCTCCTCTGCTTCGACATTCTTTTTGGATTTCTTGCTGCGCTTTGGCGGTTCGACCCCAAAGATGTCATCCGGATCGCATTCGTGGACGCAGCGTATATGCTTGCGCAAGGTCTCGGTGCTGTCGAAGTTCTTGTCACAAATGGCGCAGTCCGTGCGCTCGATAACCTTGGTGGCTGAGCGCTTGGCGCGTTGTGGTTTGGCTGTAAAGAAGAGGGCAGGATAAGTGGGCCAGCCATTTTGCAGGAGCTGTTCAATAGCTTACGCGAATGATCGCCGGCATCCATGTGCTCCTTGAGCAGCGCTGTGGTTCGAAAGGTACGCTTGCAGTCAGTGCAAGCAAATGATGCGCGCTTCTGCCGCGTGTGCTCCTTAACGTGGCGCTCGAGTCTGGTTTGAAAGCCATAATTAATAAGAGTATTACACTCCGCTTACTGGGGTTACTTACTGCTTCTCTGTCTTATACTTTTCGTCACACAAGTCGCAGGCATAGGGACGTATATGGGTTTTGGAATGGGTGCGCAGCTGGGTGGCCTGGATGAAGCTCTTGCCACACTCGTTGCACTTGTGCGGACGCTCTCCGGTGTGTCGTTTCATGTGGCGATTGAGCACCTCCTTGACAGCAAAGGATTGATTGCACTGCAAGACAAATGGGAAATAATGCTAAGGGAAATGCTGGATTTATCTGGCACTTACCACTGTGCAGCTGTAGGGCTTCTCGCCGGTGTGGTAGCGTCGATGCTTCTTGAGAGCCACCAAGGCCGAGAACTTCTTGTCACACAGATCGCAATCGAAGGGCTTCTCCCCAGTGTGGGTGCGTATGTGAATGCTGCAAGAATAAATAGCAATTAATAGAATAGAAATATGAACTATGGAAGACTCTACACACTTGAGCGTGGACAGGCTGTAGAAGCAATTCTTGCAGGTGTGGCACATGTACTCGGGTTTCTTCACCACTTGTGTGCCCAAATGTTGCTTCAGATGCGAGCGCAGATTGTCAAGGCGATAGAAGACGCGATCGCACACCTTACAGCTCATGGTATCGTTCTCATTGGCCGAGCAGGACGAGTACTTCTGGTGGCGCTTCAGGTGATAGGAGCGTGTAAAATCCTTGCCGCAGATCTTACAGGCATATGGCTTGCCACGCGACTTGTGCTGCTCCTCGTGAAGCGTCAGCAATGCGGCGCTGCGCAAATTGGCATTGCAAATGGAACAGGGATACGTATTGAACTCCGAGTGCGTGATGAAGATATGACGCTCGTAGCTGGTCTGCGTCTTGAATGACTTTGGACAATCGGGGCAATTGATGTGGCCCAACTGATGGAGGAAGATAATTAAAGTTTTGAATCGCATACGGAACGGCTGAATACTCACATGAAAGGTGTCATAGCTCTCGCTGCAACAGAAGCAAATGTCCTTTTTCTCCATCACCACAGCATCCTTTTCAATCTTCTCCAAGTTCTTGAGCATTTCCGCCTTGCGCAGATGATAGCCACTGTCGTAGCGACAGAATTCCAAGTGCTTCTTAAGGCTCTTCACACGGCGGAATGTCTTGTAGCACTTGCCGCAAACATGTTCAACCATTTCCTTGATCGCCACCTGGTTGCCAGAGGTGCTCTTAACAGCGCCCTCGCCATCGCCATCCTCATCCTCATCATCCTCATTGTCATCTTCTGTACCTGAAACCACAATCTCCTCGCCATTGGCACGACTAGCCACAGGTTCGATTTCATCGTCGTCGGCTAGGATGAAGGCAATGCTCTCGTCTTCCTCAGATACACTGGATGTGGTGTCTGCTTTGCTGTTCTCGGCCTTGACGGCCTGCAGCACATAATGATCCATCTTCTTCTTCTGTTTGGTGGCGGACGTCTTGATCTTTGTCGTCTCCACAGTCGTCGCCGCGGATGGAGCCAGGCGCTTCTCGTTCAATATCTTGACAGAGCCCGAGGGACTGACTGTCTTTTGTGGGCTGCGTTTCTCGGCTTTTGGGGAGATCAGGGCCTCATCATTCAGAATTTTTATGCGAGCGCCACCAAGGCTCACACGTTTATCCGGCTTGCCAGAGGCGGCGACGTCATTGAGCAGCTTCTTGCGCGTCGTCGGGCCTTTGACGCTTGGCAAGCACAGTTTGTCCACGCCAATTATTTTCACTACAGTTGTGCTGGCCCTGCTGGCCCTTTCGGAGGAGCCATCTGTCTTTCTGCCCTCCTTTGCGGCGGCGCTCATGCTGGCTGGCCTGGCTAGGTGTGTCTATGGGAAGAGGATCTATTAGAGGAAAGTGTTGAAAAATATATCAAGGACCCGCCAATCCATGACTAGTCTACTTTTGGGCACGTAATTTAATTTAATTTGCCTTTTTTTGCCAGCGTCAGCAACGCCTATAAGCAGCTAACGAAGAAAAATGGCGGCCCCCCTCATTTGATCGCTGGAGAGTGATGTGACTGGGGAGAGCGAGCGAGAGCACAATAGTGCTGACGCACAGCTGCAGACGCAACAAGTCTCGCTCCTCGCTCTTTTACGCGTCTTTGTACGAAAAATATATGTTTAAGGGGTTGAAAAGAATTCTAATAGATATTGAAATTTGTTGCATACTTTTCAATATTGTTTACTACTCTGACGTGCCGCACCGCCGAAAACTCCTTCCTTGCAGGCGGTGTCTCACACTAACTGTATCTGTTCTGTCCTCGGCGAAAGAAAGAAAGCGATCCGATCGCGTTCGCCACAATGTCACTATGCAATGCTCTGCCACTTGTATGCGCTGAACGCGCCACTTTTTGTGATAAACTCGAGCTTACAACCGATTGGATATGCTAGATGATTTGTATCATTTACACCACAAAATAATCAAAATTTACCTAACTCTGTGCTTCAAAATTCCAGCACGACAGGCACTGTCGTCTATCGGTAGTGTTGCATAGCGTAGGATTATCATTTTCACAACACCAGCTAGAGGTGGAGAAACACTGATCTTCGCAGACATCGATGTTTTCAAACCAAACATCGATGAAACAATGATGTTTTTCGGTTGAAGTAAATAAAATAAATAAAATAAAAATAGGAACCCCATGCAATATTCAAATTATAAATTTATTTTTACCCACATACTTCTGCGATACATCGATAGTCGCCATAGAATATCGATGTTTCAAAAAATAATAAAACATCGATGCATCGATGTTTCCATCGATGATTTTCCACCTCTAACACCAGCTCGGCTCGGCATTTTCATGAAATCAGGTAAATATTATTAAAATATAACGTTTAAAAGTGAAAATTATAAAGCTTACCCCTCACGTAGACCTAATGACCACTGCGTTCGACGCATCGCACACCGAGGGCCCCGGCTTCGTGGGCATACGGTTCTGCCAGGAGTGCAACAACATGTTGTACCCGAAGGAGGACAAGGAGAACAAAATTCTGCTCTACGCGTGCCGCAATTGCGACTACAAGCAGGAGGCGGACTCCAATTGCATATACGTGAACAAAATTATGCACGAAATCGATGAACTGACCCACATTGTGCCCGACGTTATCTCAGATCCCACACTGCCGCGCACCGAAGACCATGCCTGTCCGAAGTGTTCGCATCGTGAGGCGGTCTTCTTCCAGGCCCAGACCCGGCGTGCCGAGGAGGAGATGCGACTGTACTATGTGTGCACGAACCAAAACTGCACTCACCGCTGGACAGAGTAGACACAGCTGCGGCGCCCATTAATTGTAGTTAATAGCAAATATAAATAACATCTCTACTATATACACTAACAAATGTAGTATTCTGTAAGCTTTATTGGACGGTGTCGGTCTAGACGCGCGCCAGCATTGACATTGAGTTCTCCAGGGCGCCGCAATAACATCTCAGGCTGGCGCGCTCAATACTTGATTGCTGGTCAATGCAACGACTATACTCGTATCAGAGCCAGCAGCAACAGCATGAGAAGTGAAAAAAAAACAACAAATTAATTACTGCTTTGGCGAGAGAGCGGGAGAGCATGCAAATTCCACAGCTCTTCGTTCGAAATGACAATTCTTCATATTTATCATTGTTCTGCTCTAATCGAAGCTGACAAACACAGAACCTAAAAGAAGAAATGATTGAACAAGTTTCTTGTGCGTATCAAGCGGCTGGTGATGCTCGGACCTGGCCTGGCCCGGTCCCCGGACCCGTCGTTAAGTTTAGTTTGTGTTTAGAACTTGGCGCGACGTGTTGATTAAATCGCAGAAATGCGCTAAGAATACGCCAACGAAAATAACTCGAATTGGGAATTCATTATTCGGCGCGCTTTAAAATGGCAAAACCAAGGTCATCCGGGGACTCGGCAGCTGCAGCGGCGGCGTCTTCTCCTGCCGTGGAGGAGCGCAAGCTGAACTACTTCCAGAAGCTGTGGCAATATCGCAAATATCTGGTCATCGAGCCGTTCTTTTTCTTCTACTTCATGGCCTCCGTCTTCAATTCCGTGGCCATGCAGAATTTCCCCCTCGATAAGGCGTGCCGTGTGAATCTCGGCTACAACAAAATCGTCTGTGACACCATGCTGGACAAATCGGAGCTGGGAATCGAATGTGATGACTTTAGCTTTGAGAACACCACCGCAGGGGCCACAGCCGATCTGATCGGGCTGGCCATCGGTGCACCAGGTTTTAACTATACGGTTTGCAAAGCGGAACTCGAGGCGCAAATCCTCGCCGCCGATGTGTCGGGCAAACGAGCACCGATAGGTGAGATTTTATATTTATAAACCATCAACCATAAATTTCTCATAGCACGATTCGTTCATAGCAGACTGGACTGAATATACATAATATATAGCAGAATATACACGTTTTGCCGTTTGGCATTAGCAATGCTGAAATTTCAAGTTTCCAGAAATACACGAAATTCCTCGCCTCTCGCATATTAAATCTCACCTAACTACCATACCCTCCCGGGGACTCACATATTTCGATTCGATTCTTTTGTGTAAAGAAGATTCGCTTCTACAATTTGATGGATATCGTCGGAAATTAGCGGTTATCCAAACATCTAATTACCGCATTTAATTGATTCCCGCATGCGTTTCCTCTACGTCTTATATCCCCCCCATTATATCATTGGGTGATTAATTTAAAGCCAGCGACTATCGTTCGGATTTTCAAACCTGTTCTTTACAACTTTCGTGGGTTCACTGTCATTGGCACTGCCATTGCCATGGATGGCATTTCATCTGCGCTGTCTACAAACATTTTATTTTCAAAATATATTTTTGCTATATACATACATACGTACAGACACATCCAAATATGTCATTTACATAGCGCTTCTCGCGGTGTCTATTCCGGTTTACTGCGAGGAGGGAACATTTATATTTATTTTGTAGATAAATTAAAGAAACATCAATTCCATTAAAATGCATTGCATCAGCACTGGGTGGGGGTGGGGAGGGGGCTAGTAGAGACGGTCTTGAAATACTAATTGAGATTTCATGTATTACATGGAAGCAGTTTTGAGTATATTACTCAGCTTTATTTGATGAGCTTAGCTATGTGCTTTGATATCTCATCTCACGATCAAACAAAGTCCCACAAATAGCAACAGTTGACATCTTAAATGGGGTTGAGTGGAGATTGATGTTATCTTGAAACATGATTAAGTTCAGACTACGAAATGTGTTAATATGTTTAAATTAAGATATCGTGGAGTGTAAATTAGTATGTAAACTTGAGCTCTTTTATGATTTTATTTTTTGATCCCATTAGCTGCTATTTTCCCCCTGATTGTTCTGCTCTTTGCTGGAGGCTGGGCGGACAGGTACAACAAGCGTAAGCCATGCATGATATTGCCCATCATTGGCGAGGCCCTTATCCTTTGGTTGTAAGTATCCAAGCCATATAGCCGCCATGCATATGAAGAAGTACCAACCTTATCGTCGCTTCTCCCCAGGCCAGTTCGTCTCTGCGATATTCTTTGATTCGCTGCCCATGGAATTTGGGGCATACTGTGAGGCCATTGTGCCGGCTTTGTTTGGTGGACTGACCTTCTGTTTGATGGCCATCTACAGTTATATCACCATAGCCACACCCGAAGAGGATCGTGTGTTTCGGTTCGGCATCTTTGCCATGTTCGTCACGGGCGTGCCCTTTATAGGCCAACCGATTAGTGGGCTGCTCTTTCAGACCTTGGGCTATACGCGTGAGTACCGCATGGAAATAAAAAATATTAAATAAATTAATGATTATACCCGCTTTTAGTATCCTTTGCGTCGGCCATTGCGTTTCAGATAATTGCCATCCTGTACATCATCTTCTTTATAAAGGAAATAAAAATCACACCAAAGTCAGCTGCCGCCAATGGATCAACCCCGAATGAGCCACCACCATTGCCGACGACGCTGCCACCCAAGCAGGGCACGGACAACATGGCCTATGAAACAACCAACTTGGATGAGCAGCATCAACAAGTCAACAAGAATGTAAACTTCCAGCTGACACCGCAAATGGAGCCAAAGGTGGAAGTGGTGCCACCAAGACGTTCCTTCCTGAAGGAACTCTTTGATCCCACTCTGGTGGTGGACTGCCTCAAGTTTCCGTTGATTAAGCGTCCCAACAATGGACGCCTGCTGCTCGTACTCCTGCTGTGGGCCTATTTCTTGACGGTGGGACCCACCTCGGGCGAGAACGACTACTGGTATCGGTTCACGTTGAAGAAACTCTCCTGGAATGGTAACGACTTCAGCATTTACCTGACTCTCTCGAGTGGAGCCGCCCTGGTGGGCACTTTCATTGGCACAGCAATCCTCAGTAAACTGCTCAAGGTATCGGACTCCATGATTGGCATGCTCTCGGCCGTCTCCATTGTGTGCTCCCGTGTGCTATTTGTGAGTTTTTATTGGGGTCAATAGAGTTGGATAATCCTCTGATGAATCCCATTTGATTTGTCCAGGCCTTTGCCAGCAACACCTCCTCCTTTTACGTGGCTGGAGTGGTGGACATGTTCGTCAGTCTTCGAGTGATTGCCATCAAGACAATTGGTTCCAGCATCGTGGATGGCGATGAACTAAGTAAGTTATTGAAAGTCGTTACCAAAATTATTATTAATCCTTTTTTGTTTTGTTTTTGGTTAGGTAAAATGTATTCCATCTTTGGGATCAGCGAACCCATTGCCCAGTTCATCTTTCCGCCCATCTTTAGCGAGATCTACAAGAGAACCGTCGACTCCTTTCCAGGTGCAATTTTTCTGTTTGGCGAAATCTTCTACATCCCCAATGTGCTGGTCTTTGTGTACGTATCTTTTTCTTTGAACTCTACTTTAACTAAAAATTATTTAATGAATTATTTCGTTAACTTTTAGCTTGTGCTACTTCATCCTGCGACGTCGAAAGGCCGACCAGGCAAAGAACTCCGTGGAGCTGGAGAGAAATGGCGCAAATCCCGACAGCGAGATAACTAGTCTTTGAATCAATTAACACCCATCCGCCGTGTTGCTTGTGTATATTTGTTCTATTTTTGTATATTTATAAAGAATTTTATTTTCGTAAATGCCCGCCCGCAAATCACATTCCCTGATAACAGATAGGCTTAAGGTTTTCCCCAGTCAACTTCCATCCAGAAGCCTCTGGCAGTGGCCACAAATTGCTTTTTTTGGGGTAGCAATTTTAGTTTATTTTCTGCCACGGCAAAAGGCGCCGAGCCTTTCAACAAGTGGTAGTTTTCCAATCAGCAAATGCATTCAGTTTGAGCAGCCAGCTGGAGAGTAGTGGGTGTGGGCGTGGGTTGGAGCCCGGCCCGGCCCGCACTTTATGTGGGTGTTAACCACTGCCTTAAAACAATTGGGTGCTAATAATTCCAGTTAATCTGCATAAGTGAGAACGTGTGAATATGCCTGGAAGGCATTGGTGCACGAATTACTGGCACATCCTTCGAAGCACTTTGCTCTGCTCTGCTCTTTGATGGCATCCATATAAAAGCCCTAGCCGGAGCCTCACTTACTCAGACGTTGCTCAGGCCTCGTCGTGTGTGGTTTGAACTGGTAAGAATACTTGACTTACCCTTCAAATAAATGGGCTAATATCGCACGAATATTTTCCAGAAACATGATGCGTCTCCTTCTGCTGCCTCTGTTCCTTTTCACCCTCTCCATGGCCTGCATGGGTCAGACGTTTCAGTACTCTCGAGGCTGGACCAATGGCAAGCGGGCCTTGTCGTCTCCATCGTCTCTTCTAAGCAATGGACATTTTCACAGAGCCAACGAGTTTGGTTTCTCAGATCTGTATGACGTTCCGGACTGGAGCAGCGATCGGAGGCTGGAGCGGTGAGTATTACTCTTCGTTAGTACAGAGCTTCTGCTAAAGTTCTGGGAATATTTGCAGCTGCCTGGCGCAGCTGCAGCGGTCGCTACTGAGTCGCGTGTATGGCTCCGGCGTAGACTTCAATGCGAATCGTGCCGAACCGGACACTAGCGACAGTGGCAGCCGCCGCATCAGAGCCAATAACAACAACGAAAATGTTTTATATCCGAATCCCATTCAAAATCGGCATCACTCATCGAATGAACTTCTTGAGGAAATCAGTGCTGCTGTGGCCGGATCCGGACCGACGGGTGCGGGCTCGGGCGAGCCGAGCGTGTTTGGAAAACATTAGCTCAGACTTCGATATGTTATGGTATTTTCAGAACTTTTGAGAAACTAGCAAGCAAATGCTACAAAAATGTAAAAAAAAACACATGTTATATATTTTGGCACATGGTCAATAAAAGAACACTTTAAATTACACTGAATTAACTTTATGGCAAAACTATTATTATTATTAAGAATTATCACAAAATCGGATGTCAGCAGTACTGTTATTTAAAAAATCAAAGTAGGTGACCGCCGAATTCAATTTCCATTTATCGCACAAAAGTACCGATAGACAGGGGTGCATCTAGAATGGTCGTATGATACTATTTAATCTCGTATCTGAAAGACAGAGCATGCAGTGGGAGCGAGAGAAATATATGCTTTAATTTGGATTTTATGATCAAATTGTTACATCAGAAATATGATTAAGGTTAAGCTATCGTTTTTTTTCATTCCATCTCAGTTTTTCAGAAAAGAGAGTTGGTGTAGTGTCATACGACCATACGTAGAATTAAATGTCGCGGAAATGTATCTGATTTAACGGCTTCAAACAACAGATAAATAGTGTTGATTCTGCTGATAATTAAGAAAAGTATGATAATGTATCTCACAATAATATCCATGCTAATATTTTCGCCAGTAGTAGCCCAAAATAGTATCACCTACAAATATATATCGATATACATTTACCATCCCTATGTATTATTGATTGGAAAGAAGCAGAAAGAAAGGCGCAGCAAAATCGAAACCATTTATTTAAATCCAATTTTCTTTCGGAGCAGTGTTAAAATTTCATGTTCCGAACCTAAGTGGACATTCCCTAGATATTGAGGGACTTCAATTGCGTTGAGTTTTGAGTTTTCGTGCAAGCATTCTTGTCGTATACCAAGAAAAAGTGAGGGGGAAGCCTTTCGTTCCTGTGAACACCCCGACCGACAACCGGAACGAACAAATTTGCCGATACACAGATTTTTCTAGAAACGCACAAGGATGAGCAATCTGGAGAAGCAGCACGAGATGGTGAAGCACAGCCTGGTGGAGTTCATCAGTGGCCATATACCTGGCGCCGATTTTCGCGTTGTGGATGACATTGTCCTCTCATATATAATATCCATATTGGAGGAGGCCTCCCAGGATCCTTGCTTTGATGTGGAGGGCTTTGTCGAGATGATGGGCGCCTATTTCGAGGAGTTCCCGACCATTGACCAAGGCGTCATATGCGATTGGATCTACAAGCTGGCCAACGAGTTGACAGAGATGGAGAAGAACCAAGGCAACCATGACGCTGTGGACTTGTCGCTAAAGTGGGTTTTCCCTGCGCCGACTATGTTCGGTCAGCGTGTTAGCATTTATTTATGTTTTTTACTTTTTTTGCAATATTTTGCAGCTTATTGAGCCTATCGAATATTATTCCGGAGTCCAGGCTGCGGGCTCGCAACTCGTCCATTTCGGAGAAGGACGAGCTCTCCTCGAACAACAGCAGCAGCGGCGGCAGCCACGGCAAGCGTTCTCAGCACTTGTCCGAGACAAGCGATGGTGGCTCCACTGATAGCTCCAGCTCCAATTGCGACTACTTTTTTGATGAGGCCGAAGCTCTGCAGGAAATGTTTCCCGACGCAGCCTATGTTGAGGTCAGTTTGGGTAGCTAGTACTATGCGGACTGAGGCCATAACAAACCCGAATTTGTATTTAGATCAAGCATTGCATTGCCATATCCAAGGGCGATATAGACAGTGCCACTCAGATCCTATTGCATCGCCAGGAGACCAATCAGAGCCTGACCGATAAGTCGCACACCATGATCATCAGGAAGAACGTTGTCGTCGATGATAACGAGCTAAAGAATCGCATCATCGCCAGGTAAGTGCTCGCCCATGGATTATTTTTAGCCAATTTATACGTGTGTTTGTTCAGGTACTCGTATGTGGACAAGAACGCCACTCAGCGCGAGTACAAGCCGGTGGCGCCCAAGGTGGAGCCGCGCAAGTTGGTTCGCTATCGGGACAACAAGATTGTCTCGTTGAAGGGCGAACGCTACACCGAGATCAAGCGTGACGAAGATGCTGAGTTAAAAAAACCCAAGAAGCAGATTCAACCGTAACTAAAGATGAACAAAACTCTCTTCAAGTATTTTATCAAGAAGCAAATTAATCCAAATCCAAGTAATTTATCCGCACCCACGACATTGACCTTTAAACACAACAGCAACACCGATACCGACACCGATTCCGAATTTGAATCTGAATCTGAATCCGATTCCGAGCACAGTTTATGCACTCAGCTGCATATTGGAATGACCCGAACGAAAGCCCATTCCTATACCCATGCTAATGCCAATGCCAAGTCCGGCCGATTAGTCCATGCTTCTACCGTAGCATCACCTGCCCAACTTAGCCAACGTTTAGATGCTTCCTTATCCATCGCTGCACAACAAGAGGAGGATCGAGAATATGATAAAGACGAACAACCGAGCAAACGTAAAGCCACCGAATCCCGCTGCCGACATCCATGTGAGTTTGAGTTATCGGCTGGTATTTTGATGTTACTGTTGCTAGTTGGCGTCGGACACCAGTGGACACCACAGAATTACATCTCTCCTCTTCATCAAGTTGTAGACAAAGACAGAAAGACTTTACATACCAAATTAGTTAATAGTTATTATGCTTTAGGACTCCCCTACGTATATTTTCAGAGCCCGGCCGTGGTCGCTTGCTTATGAGTTTCATTACTGGCCAGCGACAGCTGACGAGCAGGCGGCCCAAAAAGATGGCCAGTTGTCGGACGCTGTGATCGCGTTACCGCTTGTGCACGCGATCGCTTATGACGACTGGTGTCGCGCCTGCGATGTGAACGGTTGTGCTCCTTAGTTCCTTATGCAAGCAAATTCGAATTGAAAACTTATCTGTGAAAATTGTGAGGTGCAGTCTACCGCCCGCTAGCGAATCTCGAACCTTGATTGTTCTTAAACAACAGTATTGTCCTCTCCCTTCCCAAAAAACACACACACACTGAAGCAGGTGCGACACCCAACCCGAATTTGGAGCTCAAATAGACTTATTTAGAGATTTTAGGCTCGAATTGAAGAATTGAGTTTTGTTGGCCGTGTGCGTGTTTCAAAAACGCAGCTGCACAAAAACCTTGCCATATCTTTTTAAGATTTGTTTATTGTTTTTTATTGTGTAACTTGTTTTGTTTTTCCATTGGTCCAAGCAAACTAGCAACATTAGCAAAACATACCAAAGCCACAAACTAGTCCAGTCCACTCTCCCCTCACCATATGGAATCGGCTACTGCTCGGAACAAGACAGCAATATTTAACCATAATCGAAGCATATTCAAGCATACAATACATAATTATAAAATAATCGATTTATCAACTATTTATATAGCGTAGCCTTTAGCCTCTCCCAAAATCCCCACAACATTGTAACCCCCCCACTACAATATCACGGTAAACATGTCCAGGCTTGTACTAATCCCACGCCAAATGCAATTCATGTTAGATGTAAGCATCAAGATATTGTTCAAACGATTTAATGAGTTTTCAACGTTTTGTTTGACACAAAAGAATTAATTATGTTCTTAAATATTAGCCTAAGTTCTATGATCCTTGACCACCGTTTTATGTTTTTATTTATGTAACAATTTGCATTTGAAGCGTTTTAAATCTTATTTCATCTATAAGTCCTACACGATCGGTGTTTAACATATTTATATCTATATATACATGCATCGCAAATGTATTTATTATTTCACTGGTTTCGGTTTGATATTAACGATTTCTCATATATATTTTTAGTTTTATATATTATTTTTGTGATATTAGCGTAAAAAAAAAATCAACTTAAAGAAAAGGCAAAAAACACTCGAATTAAACTTTTGAAATTAATAAATAAACAACTATCAATATTTAAAGCATACATACTTGATGCTGTAAACAAAACGTTTTTTAATTTGAATAACAGCCTCCACATCGAAGTGTCTGGTAGAGTTCCCCAATGTTGGAGAGCTGTTATGTACAGTTTTTAGAACTAATAGGACAGTGTTCATATGTAGCATATACAAAGCCATTTATTGATTTAATATATATTATTATAAATAATAGAAAAAACTCGTAGGAGCGACAGTGTTTGCGGCGACGTGACAACCCTGTTGGTTTTGCTGGTGTGCCAGGAGGTATTTAAATTTACGCATGAATATTATGAAACTTGATCATTTTCAGCGCAGTTGAGGGTATTATATTTTGTAATTAAAGAGGAACCTAACTGCGGCTAAACTGTTTAAATAAAAGTGGGTTAAGTTGCCTAACTTCAGTTTTTGCTCGGTTTATTTGCGGTATATTATGACAATGACAAAGTATATTTCGGTATTTTCCTGAGTGTCAGACGGTATATTTGATCAATAAATTCGCGGTCACACTGGCACAAACATTTATGTGGTTTTTTCCACTTTAAAAAAAGCCATAATGACCACAATTGCGGATCTATTTACTAAATATAATTGCACCAATTGCCAGGACGACATCCAGGGTATTCGGGTGCATTGTGCAGAGTGTGAAAACTTCGATTTATGTCTGCAAGTAAGTGACACACATACATATGTACATACATGAATACAGTGTACAGTAAATGTACAGGCGCCCACATCGATACACGACGTACCATAGTGATGCCTCTGTTAGCACCGCTCTGGAACTGTTAACACTGACTCATGCAAAAGTTCATAGTACATTCATACATATATATATATACATACATATGTATGTAGCCGGCGATTTCACAATGTTGTTTAAAAATAACAGCTGTTTACTGAATGCGCAGCAAGTATTTACGTTTTAATTTTGTTGTAGTGCTTCGCGTCTGGTGCAGAGATCGGGGCCCATCAGAACAATCATGCCTATCAGTTCATGGACACGGGCACCTCCATACTGAGTGTGTTCCGTGGCAAGGGAGCGTGGACGGCCCGCGAGGAGATTCGTCTGCTGGATGCCATCGAGCAGTACGGCTTCGGCAACTGGGAGGACATCAGCAAACACATTGAGACCAAGTCGGCGGAAGATGCCAAAGAGGAGTATGTAAATAAATTCGTCAATGGCACAATTGGCCGTGCCACATGGACGCCGGCCCAGTCCCAGCGTCCGCGTCTCATCGACCACACGGGCGACGATGATGGCGGTTCGCTGGGCGCCAGTGCCATGGCCAGTCTGCCACCTCTGGAGATCAACTCCGACGAGGCTATGCAGCTGGGCTACATGCCCAACAGGGACAGCTTTGAGCGCGAGTACGATCCCACAGCCGAGCAGCTGATCTCCAACATTACGCTCAGCTCAGAGGACACCGAGGTGGACGTTATGCTGAAGCTGGCTCACGTGGACATTTACACGCGACGGCTCCGCGAACGGGCCCGCCGCAAGCGAATGGTGCGCGACTATCAGCTGGTCTCAAATTTCTTCCGCAACCGCAATTATGCCTTGCACCAAGGCCTCACCAAGGAGCAGAAGGAGTTTCGGGATCGGTTTCGCGTCTACGCCCAGTTCTACACCTGCAACGAGTACGAGCGTCTGCTGGCCTCCCTGGAGCGCGAGAAGGAGCTGCGGATCCGGCAGTCGGAGCTGTATCGCTATCGCTACAACGGTCTCACCAAAATCGATGAATGTGTGCACTTCGAGCAGCATGCGGCAATGGCATCGCACCGATCCACAGGACCCTATGGTCATGGCAAGACTGTAAGTGCGAGCCCGCTAAATGGGCATACAACGCGTCAGGGAATGCAATTGAAATCAGTTGCAGCCACATTTCTGTATATATGTTGATAGTTTAAGTAGATATTGAATGCAGGCTGCTATTGTTACAATTTAATTCCCTGGTTGTGTGCGCTCGTCCAATGAAAATGCATGACGAGTTGAATATCGTGTGTGCGCTGCTTTGTTCATTCCATTCCTGTACCAAACTTACGATCGCTTTCCCGTCTTGTTCTCACGATATTCAGCTCCTCTGTATTATCAACGCACCAAACAGCGAGCGTTTGAATGGTTGTATAAGACAATGTTTAACCACAGGACCTCACGCAGCCCTCCAATGGAAATCTTCGGCCGCCAAGCTCTTCCTTGCTCTCCCCACAACCGAATCTCAGAAAGGCGTAAGTACTTGGAATACAATTGGCAGCGTGTGCGTTCCTCTTTCTATAACGCTGTTCCACCTTTATTAGCGAAATGTCAAGCGGCGCCGAGGCAAGCTCAAGTTCAATCGCACCAAGAAACACGCACCACACCGTCGACCCGACCTGCTCCGGCGCATTATTGCCCAGCAGAAACTACTTGGATAACTGTCGGGTATCGTCGGCAGCTACGACGCTGCCGACAACAACAACGGGGGCGGAGATGGTGTCGGGGACGGGGACGACATTGGACTCGGGCACAACAGCGATGACGGGAGCGATTTCCACGGCTACGACGATGGCAGCGCAGGCGAATCTGCCAACGACATCAGCGAAGGGAAGCCCACAACTTCAGCAGCAGCAGCATCCACCACTGTCCAAAAACAACCAGCCAATGCATCCAAGCGAGGTCGTCGGCAGCAGCGGAAGCCATAATACGTCCGAGGAGCAGGCGGTGCCCAGCATGAGCTTTAAATTACGCACACAACTGGAGGAGCTTAAACACCTGCCCCAGCCGCTGGGCAGCAACCTGCTTAGCCACAACGAGCAGGAATTGTGCAAGAAACTCAATATCACACCCACCACCTACCTCTCCCTGAAAACGGTCTGTCTGAGTGGAGCGCCATCGTTGGGCAGCCCCATGGAAATCTCACTGCGTAAGTTCTTTATCAAATGCGGCTGGCTGAGCCATTGAATGTCCCCCCTTTTGCCGCCCCCCGCCCATCAATGATCGGATGGTAGGTAAAATGCTAAACACATTTGCTGACTTAGGGACTTCACTTTTATTTTGAAAGCGGCGTTTAGTATGTATAAATTATAAAAGACAACAATTTTCGACTGTTCAACTTTTGTTGCCATCATTTCGAGGTGAAACTACAAAGAAACAAAACAAAAAAATACAAACAAATAAAAACTAAATCCATTATGTATTTAGATCTCACTTGTATCAAGTCAGGCTCAGACGTTCAGACACTTTTGTGTCCCCTACCCATCCCCTTCATTAAATTAGCTAAAATGTTGTTCCTTCGTGTAAGGAGAAATGGTGTCGTCGTCTCTAGCGTAGGCGCCCGATCAAGGTTCAGATCTTTTGTATTATCTATGCGTAAGTAGGCCACAACCCCAACCAATTGAATAATGTATAAAGATAATGAAATTGTAAATGAAGAGAATAAATCTATTGCAAATGTGCAACAATGAATTTGTATGTATAATGTATGTATAATAATCGCAGAGCTCTCAGCTGCCACGGACTGCCTGTCCATGCTAGGATCATTGTATTTCATGAGATATTGATATTCTCCATGGATGTCTATATATAGTCGGCCAAATCGTTAGTGTTAGTCTCGAGCAATCAGTTTGTTGCGCTGAGTATTCATATTTGTATCTTACAGAATGATAATAATGATGATGATATATCCTAGCATAAGCTCGTCCAATTTAGCACCCTATCAAATAACAATTATGTGTAACCGTATACCTACAAAAATTTAATATATATATATAAACGGATTTTTCAATTGGGTTTCTCTTACAACTAACAACGATGTGTGATGCCTGTGGAGCAACTGCAACAGAAACGGCAACAGCAACAGCAACTGCCGATGCACTGCATCACTTATTCCTCAAAAAATAGCGATACAGCGTGTTCTTCTCGGGTCGACTCCGGGCACCAGCGCTGGCCGTTGCTGGTGCGACGCCACCGCCACCCGCTCTTGCTGTGGCCGCACTATTCGCCGTTGTGGTAGCTGCCGTCGTCTGCTCCACTGCTGCCACCAGAGAACTGCGCCAGGATGCAATTAGCTCGTTTTGCAGCTCCACAGGAAGTTCCTTGAAAACTTCGGCATCGACACCAGCTGGGCAGGCAATATCCGTTAGAACTTTATTGGCGTGGACGCTGGCTGTGGTGCTGCCTTCGCTGGCTATGCAGCTATTATTGTTGGGCGCTGGAAACGAATCGGGTGCTGATGTCGGCGTGCAGGGTGCGCTCATGGAATCATCCATGGGCGAGGGCAGTGGCGACGAGGCTGTCGAGCTGGCGTTCGAGCTAATCCGACGGGCAGTGCGCGTGGACATGAAGCGAAGGCTTCCATCGATCCGATTTAGCAGCGTGTTGGGCGGCTGTACTGTTCGGAATCGTGGAGCACCCGCGGAGCAGCCGCCAGCCGACGTGGATGGAGTGGTGGTGCTGGCAATGGGACTCATGGGGAAATCCTTTTCGCTGTCGCGAGAGTTGAGACGCAGATCACAGACACGAAGTTTGCTGGGCGACGCCACATCGGCAGCGGTGTCCATCACGTCCCCCGCCAAACGACTGCGCTTCGAGACCAGCATGCGACCAATGCGGCTCTTCTTTGGCGATGGCTCCACCTCCGTTTCGGAGAAATCACTAACGTCCGAGTTGGTGGCCGCCGACTCGGAGCCGTTGTCCAGCAGCATGGGAATTGGCGAGGCTGTGGTGGCGCGTCGCCTATAGAACTGATCACTCGGCTTGAAGGTGGTCGGCGAGGAGCGGAATGCCGACTCATCGGAGGTCGGACTCTCTGCCGTTGGACTTGTGAGACTCGTGTTGGTCAGTGACGTTATTGACTGCACCTCCAAATCTGCCTTCTTGATGAGGAAATTGGCTATGGATGAGGAGCCCACCTTGCGCTCCTGGAACTTGGAGAAGGCCAATCCAATTAGGGTGATATTGAATGGCTTATTTAGGTCAACGATGCGCTCGAACAGTCGCATTACGATCTTGAGAAGCTTATCCTGTGCCCCATCCACCATCTGCACTTTGCTCACTCCCATCTCGCCCGCGCACATTGAGGTCTTAAATAGGGAGGGCAAGATGTTTGCCTGCTTCGTCTCACGGTGACTGCTTTTCTTCTGCGAGTCAAATTTCCTCAGCACAACCTTGATGGCAATGGGGATGCGTCCGTCTTCGGCCACCTGAGCAAATGGCAGGGGAGATAATAAGTCATTGCTTCTCATAAATGTCTATTTAATCAACAACATACCTGCTCGATTAGCCTTATGAGCAGCATGCGAAACCGTTCCTCCACATCTGTGCACACGGATATGGGCTTGCAGGCATCCTCCATGCCAATGGTCTTCGGCTTGCCGGTGGGACGAACCGTACTCGAATCGCGGCCAAATGCCAAGTCCCTCAGCTTGGTGGCTGTCTCGAAGCCGAACTTCTTGCGCATAACGTCCATGTCACATTGTTGCAGCTGCTCCACCGTAGACATACCCGCCTCCAGGAGCAGGCATTGCGTTTTCTGGCCGATACCCGTCACACGCTTCAGATCGTACAGCTCGCGCATGAACTGTTCCGCATATGTGGAGACCAGGACGGTCTGCTGGTTGGGCTTGTGGCTGCTGCCCACCAGTTTGGCCAACAGCTTGTTGTACGCGATTCCCGCGCAACAGGTTATACCCAGCCGCAGCTTCAGCTCCTCGCGTATTTCCTGAGCAATTCGGGTGCCAATCGCCAGGCGCTGGGCACAGCCGCAGGAGCAGGTGGTCAACGGGAGTGCCATCGGCCGGATAAGTGTGTCCGACTGGCGGCTTTTGTTGCGCCTCGGCGGCATGGGCTTGCCGAAGTTCCACCAGGGCCGACACATCCATGAAGTTCTCATCGAATCCGAGCTTTTCCACCATGGGAGTGTAGTTGAGGAGCAAATCGAAGATCTTCTGCGACATGAGACGGTATGGCGCGAGGTCTTCGCCATTGACCAGCACCAAATCCGGGCACAGGCGCTGAGCCTCGGTGATGAGCATGAGCTTGTTCACGCCCCGAGCACGCGCCACATAGTTGCAGGTGACCACGATATTCTTCTGCTGGATGCCCAAGGCTTTCGTGCGCAGCGTGGGGTCCCGTATCTCCTCCACCTGGGCGTAGAAGTAGTCCATGTCGAGGTGTACAATGGTGCGCTGATGCGCTTCGCTCTTAGCCAGCACGCTGGTGAAATCCATGATTCAAAGCGGCTGCAATGGGAGGAGGAGGGCGAAATAAATGGATGGCGAAATAGTGAATGATGCAAGTCGAGGATTTTTCATTGAAAATGTTTGGCATCCAAACAAAGCAAGTCACAAGAGAGAGCAGCAGTCGGTCCCTCGTACAACAGCTGCTGCTGTTGCTGGCTATGGACCGGGGGTGTGGTGCGGTGCGCTGCGGTACGTTTCGCCTTGACGTGAAATCTTCCACTGTTGCGTGCGCCCCTCGCTCCCCGCGCTCTTTCATTAACAATGGCCGAAGCCGACTTTCTAATCAAACAACCAACCCGACACATGAAACATGACGTAGGCACAGCTCAGGAGCTTGTGCCGGCTAAACATTTAGTTTAACAACAATATTGCACATTTTTCTGTTGTTGCTGCGATGACGCATTAGTTAATAGTCGAGAAAACACCAGAATTTCTCCGGACGCGGATGTGTCTTCCTCAAAAACAGGCACTGTGGTACACTTAATTGGAATGTTATTATTCATCGAGTGTGTAGTCGTGTTTACGCCTAAGTAGCACACAATTATAAGGTTCAATATTATTTTAAATTTACCATAAAATAGAGGTGTCAAACCATCGAGGGCACTATCGTTAGTATCGATATTTTACTGCTAGTCTCTACTATCGACGGTTTTGCGACTATCATGATATTATCGAGCTACAGTCGTTGTGCTTTTGATATGTTTGGATTGGCTTCTATAAAATACGAAGACAAATTTGTAAACAAATCGACAGGAGGCATCTAATTTTTACAATGGACAAGTTCCTAAAAGGTTTCAATGGTGTTTTAATAATTATTAGAGCTATCACGATAGTATCGATTGTTTTTTCAAAACATTCGACGTTGATATTCCTCGATATTGATATTCCGTTTAATATTACCAGCTAGCTGGGACTCTCAGCCCTAAACAAATAATTTTATCCGATAGATACATAAATTTCCTTCAGGGATTGGTTAGTTTTAGAACTCTTTTTCATTGGATTATTTAAATATTAAGGTTCAAACAAAAACAGCATAAAACGAATTTGTCGTCGTTTTGTGGCGTTGCCAGACTCGTGCAATTCGTAGTTGCTGCGGGCTGCCATACCGTGATATTTTGTGATATGAAATTCGTCAATTTTGATATTCAGTTTAATATTACTAGATAGTTGGCCCTCTCAGCCGTAAAAAAATAATTTTATCCGATAGATACATAAATTTTGTTCAGGATTGGTTAGTTTTTAGAACTCTTTTTCATTGGATTGTTTACATATTAAGGTTCAAACAAAAACGGTCAAAGCATAAAACTTAAATGTTGACTAAATGTAACGTCATTGTTGCTGGTCAACCAAGTTTCTTCTATGCGTATGGGCTTTGGTATACCTTATTTTCTTTAATTGATATGTTAAATTTGTTGTTTCAGGCTGCTTTGAAACATTAATATTGCATTTTCGTAAAATTGAGTTATTTTTTACCTATCTATGCATATGTTTTGTGTTTTATATATACATTTATCCCGGTTCTGATACCTATTATTGGTACCCATGAGCTACAAAATTTCGTTGATGTCTTTTAATAAGAGACTGAGTAGTTTCTGCATTACTTGGAGCCTGATATAACAAACAATATCTCAAGTCCATAATATCCATTTTCCCAAGGTATGCAGATTGTTGCTCATTCCGTGCCAAAGTTGCACAACAATGCTGCTACTTCATTTCCCCATGCTGCTGAAATTTTTCCCATACAAATCAAATGTATCATACGGGAACGAATTGAGAGCAAATTTTGAAAACTCTCCACGAATTGAGAGCGAAAAATGTCAGTATTTTTGGTGCGCTAAATTGAGTTTGGCGGTCAATTTGAAATGTGTCTTAATATTTGGAAAAATAACTTGATTTGTTTTGTCGAGTGACAGCTCTAATTCTTAAGTTATTTTTTTTAAAGAGGATGCAGGTTAGAGTGACCGCGCCGATAAAAATAAATAGACTTAACCCACTTAACACCCATCTATTTAAAAAGCTAAGCACCCTTTGTTAAACCGCGGAAAATAATACTGTTTGCAAAGGCTCCTTGTAGCTCCATTCTTCTCTTTACTTACAAAACAAAAATGACCGCCGACATCTTTCACCTTTAAAGCGTAAAATATGTTAAAGTTACATAAAAATAATCCCTTAATATACCGACGAAAAAAATAAACTTAGCGCACTTAACAGCGTTATATTAAAAACCTTGAGTTAAAGCACGGAAAATGACTGTTTGCAAATGCTCCTTTTCATCTCTAATCTAGTTTGCTGCGTAAAATTTGATTAATCAAACAATACAATATATAAACGATACATTCTCAAATCACAAAAACGTCATTGGACATATTGCACGCACCTTTTTTTCATGAGCAGAAATTATGTTTCGGATAAAGAATGTAAATTGCTGGGAAATAAAACCACGCAGAATTACCGCGTAAGTATAAACTTTTGACTCGATGACGGCCAATATACATGCTCGTGTTTAATCGTGACTTATCCTGGCAGCCTTGATCCTGGCAATACCAATATCACAGAGCAGTTGGACGCTTTTAAAAAGCACTCCGCCGAGTTTGAAAAGTCGAGAGCACAATGCCCCAAGACATTAATTCCACTGAAGAACAAGGATAGCGTGATGGACGTGGTTATGAAGCACATCGAAAGCAGTCGTTCCACCATTGTGAACGTGGACGGGGTGCGCTTCCTGTGCCACGATGTGGTTCTTTCGCTTTTTTCGGAACGTCTTAAAGAGCATATGAAAAAGGACTGCCTGCACTTCGAGACACCAGAGCTGGCATCTCGTGCATTCGATCAAATATACTGCTGGATGCATGGCGAGTGCAGCTTTGTGCAGAGCTTTGATCTATCACTTCTTAGAGCGGCTCGATTCCTGGCCATTCCCGAACTGCTCCACGAGATGTGGAAGCTACTGGACAAGAAGAACCTGATGGAATACGATGCATTCAAGATGATGTGCGGGTCGAGCGAAATTCATGAGATTCTGGAACTGCAGAAATTAATGGTGACTCGCATATCCAAGTGCACGGTGGTCATCTTCTCCTCCCCTCAGTACTTGGAGCTGAGTGAGCTTCAAGTGTGGCTGCTGCTAAAGTCCAGTCGGTTGGCAGTCAACTCCGAAATGGAAGTGAGTTTTTATCTGGTCAGTTCTGTTCTGGAACATTCATCGACATTTTATTTATTGCAAAGGTTTTTTATGGTGCCCTCTGCTGGCTGAGATACAAGTGGCCCATGCGTCATGCCAGCATTGGCAAGATCCTCAAGAGCATCCGCTATGGATTTATGTCCATCCTCATGCTGAGGAAGTTCACGCTGCCGTGTCGCACGCAGACCGGTCCGTTCGGAGATATCCTGGATGTGTTCATACAGTTGCCCGAGTTTAAGAAGATCCTGGCCGATGCCATGTTCTACAGCAGCCTGTTGACAACCACTTTGAAGCAACCGGACTGTCTGAAGGAGAGGCTGGCAGTGACCCGGATGAAGCTCCTTAGCCCTCGCCGTTGGATGATCGATGCGCGCTGCGAGTACCATCGCCCTGTATGCGCAACCATACCGAATATGTCCTTTGTGTCGTGGGAGGAGTACACAAAATACATGTTTATGTTGCAAAATGAGAAAACCAATCTCGACGTCTGCATTAGCTGTGTGGATGAGCCGGATACTGAGCGCGCTATCTGTTCGGCCTCGGAGAGCGTTCAGTCGTCGTTCTCCGATCTCCATAGCTCCACATCCTCACAGATTTCGGAGTTGTCCAAGGACACGTCCACCACCAGTTTGTCAAGCAGCTACGAAGACACTTCGGATGCCCTATCACAACTCTGCTTGAGTTCATCCTCATGGGAGAGCCGCCTGACCGCCATGGACTCACATGCATGGCAGCGCTGCCTGACCTCCGCCGATGACGATGACGAATTGTCCACATCGGATGAGTAGGAGTAGTACTTGTCGTGTTCCACTGAAGGGCCTTCCGCACAGTGCCATGCCAAAAGCAAAACAATTTTAAATATATTTTTAGAGAATAAAATAAATAAAATGAACGAAATGACTTTTGTATCTGGTTTTTTTTTTTAAATGTACACTCGATCGTCGCCTTTCAGTTTTCTAGGATTTTTTGAAGTTTTCCGAACTCCAAAAGTAATCTGTACTTGTGCTGGTTCCTCTATCGTTCCTTCCTATGGCAGCTATTTATAAAGGTGTACATATGTATAATAAAACAGACCACCGGTTATCAATACTAGAATATATGATCATAGGCAGGCTTCTGCAAGCTGCTGAATATGTAATCTTTGAGTTAATCATGCAGACGCAACGCATTACACATATGAACCACGAACAATGTCCGAGTGAGTGCTGGCCATAATTTTAATAAAAGGTCCACTCGAAGACACCTTATCAGCCGCAAGACTTTCATGAATGAAACTTTTGCAAAATTTATTGCCAGTGAATCTTACGATAAGGCGGCTTCGCCAGTATAAAAACGTAGCCGAGTTTCGGGAAAGGCATGAGTTTCAGCACTTGTTCAAGATGAAACTGTTCGTATTCCTGGCATTGGCTGTGGCCGCAGCTAGCGCTGTCCCCACTCCCCTGCAGAAGCAGACCCCTGTCCCAGTCAAGGACATTGAGGGCAGAATCACCAACGGGTACAATGCCTACGAGGGCAAAGTTCCGTACATTGTTGGTCTGTCCTTCGCCGGTAACGGCAACTGGTGGTGCGGTGGCTCCATCATTGGCAACACCTGGGTCCTGACTGCTGCTCACTGCACGAACGGAGCCGAATCTGTGACCATCAACTACGGCGCCAGCTTCCGCACCCAGCCCCAGTACACCCACTGGGTGCACCGCAACGACATCGTCCAGCACCACCACTACAACAGTGGCAACCTGCACAACGACATCTCCCTGATCCGTACTCCCCATGTCGATTTCTGGCATCTGGTCAACAAGGTTGAGCTGCCCAGCTTCAACGATCGCTACAACAGCTACGCCGGAGCCTGGGCTGTTGCCTCTGGCTGGGGCGGCACCTACGACGGCAGCCCACTCCCCGACTGGCTGCAGTGCGTCGATGTCCAGATCATGGATCAGGGCGAGTGCAGCCGCACTTGGTCTCTCCACGACAACATGATCTGCATCAACACCAACGGTGGAAAGTCCACCTGCGGAGGCGACTCTGGCGGCCCATTGGTCACCCATGACGGCAACCGCCTGGTGGGAGTGACCTCCTTCGGCTCTGCCGCTGGTTGCCAGTCTGGTCACCCAGCCGTCTTCAGCCGCGTCACCGGCTACTTGGAATGGATCCGCGACAACACCGGCATCTCCTACTAAAGAGTCCACTGAGAGATATTCCCATATTTAGTTTGGGATCCTTCAATAAAAGATTATGCAAAAAAACAACTGTTGAACATTTCGACTGGCAGAGCTATGGGAACATGCCAATAACAATGATTCGAACGCAAACCGAGTCTTGGCGGTTTATTTTCAAATCGATTCGATTATAAAACAGTCGATAAATCGAGTACGGCAACGCCAATGCAAAGTAGGGCTGCCAGATAGTCATACAGGGTTCTGGCACTCCAGTGACGTCAGTGTTGCCCCTAAGAGTTTTGTCCGTTGGATATTTGAAATGTGGCTCTCCAATTAACATTTAGGAACTTGTAGCCTGCCATCGCATTTATTGTTATTACAATAAGTTTACGAGTGAGTTGCCGCGCTTTTTAATGATATTCATGAGTTTTATATTGGTTTATTCTAGTACATAATAAAGGCGCGAGGTGCTTTTTTTTTTGGGGCCAGTCTTGTCCGAGCTGAGTGGGTGGTGATGGGAGGGGGGCTGGGTGTTTGTGTATGTGTGTGCACACTGACGGCTGTTGTGGTCACGCGCGCGTCCATGGCTCGGGCCCCAGAATGTGGAGCAGAGCAGCGCAGCTCAGCGCAGCGTGGCTTTATGGCTGTTGCTGTGGCAAGGTATTGCCTGTGGTGTCGTATGAAATGTGCTTGGAATTTACCAGACAGACCTTTGCCTTGTCGTCCACTCCTCCTACTTGGCCTGGTCTTCGTCCTGCGCCTGTGATAATCGCCCCGCTGGCTGCTTGACAGGCAAACAATGCTGTGAATTTGATTAAAATCAGCCAGCGTGTGCGTCTTCAGCTCAGCTCAGCTCAGTTCAGCTCAGCTCAGCTCTGGCTGCTCTTGTGGTTGTTCCTTCTGCTTGATTTTTGTCGTTATTGGAGCACACACACACACACACTGACACACACGCACACTACACCACACTCACATCTGGGGCAAACAGTGCCGAGCCTGGCTTATAGCCGCCTCGTTTGTAGCCACAGTCCGCTGCAGGCGGTGCGGTGCGTTCCACTAATTGCCAAACGCCTAAATTTGGCCTGGGAAATCGTTGGGTCTTTCATTTTTTTTGTTTCATATTTAAAAGGGGTATTTATGTCATTTTTTTTAATCTTGTTTGTTTTGTTTATTTTAAATCTTAATGATACGATTTAATAACGAGACTAAAACTACTCGTATATTGATGTCCATTTTTTATGGAGCAGCCGTAAAGATCCAAAAAAAAAACTTGCTGGAATGCCACAAATATCTTCGCGTGAATTGCTTGCAGCGGGAAAAGTGTGAAATGCATTTCTTCGTTGGGTTTCAGTGGCTGCTAATGAGCTCCAGCTGCCAGGGCGACACTTATGTATGTATGTATGTATGCCACTCCTCATCTCAGCCACCGCCCATACCTCGAGTTCTTCTTTCTCTTTCTCAGCTGGCTTCTTGTGAATTTGCAATGAGGCTAAAAGCTAATTAGTTGCCTGGATTTCCCAGCTGCCCCTACCCACTCATTCTCACTGTTCGTGGCTTCCTTCCTCCTGCTCCAACCAAGCGTTAATTTTTCCTCTGAATTGCACACAGGAGGCTCCTTAGGTGGAACGGTGGCTACACCCACTCCCACACACACACACACACACACACAGACACACAGAATGCAGGATCATCCACACGGCGAAACGAAACGGATGTTCTCGCGCCACGTTGGCTCCGGTCCCGGTCCAGGACCAGGTCTCCCTGCCAAAGCTTTTTTGTTGGGGTTTCAGAGGGTGTGTGTGTGTGTGTGTGTGCTGAGGGGGCTGCAGAATGTTAATAAATCTTATTTTTATCATTTGGCTATAAATACTGAATTTTTAGCTCCGGCCATGCTCAATTTATGGCCATTATTTATGTCGGAAAAGCGAAAACCTCAAACATGCTGCCACACTTTTTGCTCTCCCTCGACCATTGCTGTTGCTGTTGCTGCTGTTGCTGCTGCTGCTGCTGGCCTGCATTGTGCATCCATTTTTATTTGTTGCTGTTTTGGGCCAAAAGCAGCAACGAAAGAAATAAAGAAAGAAAGATACTCGGGCCATATTATTGCAATTTTCCAGTTGCTCCGCCCACGCCAGATCCGCAGGGAAAACGGAGATGCTGGCAGGAAAGGGAATGGCACAAAGCGAAATGAAATATGAAAAATTGCATTACACCTTAATAAACACCTCAGCTGGCGAACCACACCGGCGCGGATCGGTGCCGGGCATGGAGTGGGGCGTGGGGAGCGGCGAGCAGGGATGTGGGAGCCATCAGGCAGGATCAGAGCTTGAGGTATGACCGTACATACATATCTCCCCAATCGGCGCTGCAGATGGAGTCCAAGCCCGAGTCCGAATTGGATGGGGACGGTGGTCTGGGGTCTGGGGTCTGGTCGCTGGGGTCGGAGTGGAAGCCTGTGTGTGCCCTGCAGTGGCCATAATGAAGATTGTCTGCAGCTTAAGTGGACGCACGTTGCTCGCCCGCTGGATGGATGCTGTACCACTGTGTACGTACCAGTGGGTATGGGCTTGGGCATGGGAAGCAGCAGCACTGGGCCATGGACAGGCGGCGGGCAGGTAACTTTTGCGATCGCGATCATTTAGGCGCTCATCTGGCATAAAATTGTTAGAAACGCCCCGTGTGTGTGTGCGCCTCTGGGTAGGATGCACCTCTCTCTCTCCCTCTCTCCCGTTCCTCCGCTCCCTCCTGGCCATAACGTTTTTGCCATTAAATTAATAAATTAATGCGATCGTGCAACAGTCGATCATGTGGCCAGTTTCCAGCAACAGCAACAGCTACAGCTACATCTACAGGTTCAGCCTGTCAGAATTTCCAAAATCTCAATACAGAAAAGTTTATTCGTCTTTAATCAGAAATTTCTGGACAGCCTCAGCCCAGAAGTTTGAACAGTGCTCTGTGCAGGCACATAAGCGTCCTCTTATTGAATTGATCATCTTGTTTATTTTGGCTATACTTTTCGAACGATCTGCAGACACTGTGCTTGGGTCTGGAGTCTGGGGTCTGGCCGGGCAGAGTACTGGCCAGAGTACACCGAAGCAGCGTAGCGCTGGTCGTGATCGCAAAAGTGGGTGTTGCTAAGTGTTTTGGGGCCTCTTGGATGCTGGAGCATTGCAGACGCAATGGCTGGTTGCTGGCCGCAACTTTCGAGTGGAGCGGCAACAGAACCAGTCTGCCATTTTTACAACCCAACCTCTCAACTCTCTTCTGCCAGCGCGGCTCCTCTGCTCCTCGTGCATCATTAACGCGGGGGGAACGACAACGGCAACGGCAACTGCAACAACTGCAAGGAGAGGAAATAATTGCACGGATGGCACTGGAGGCCGTTCCGTTCCGTTCCATTCCCTGGATGCAGGCAATCCACGGTGGATTGCCGCGCCACGCTCTGGCCGCATCGCTGTGTTGCTCTGTTAATTTTACAGCCATGTCTGATATTGCTAAATGGCTGTGAGTGGATTCGTTTAAGCACCAATTTTATTACCAACAAGCATCACGTTGCATCTGCATCAGTTCGTTTCTCTATCTCTCTCTCTCTCTTCGCTCTGTCTCTTCTCTCTGTCTCTCTTTGGCCCAATGGGGCTCCATGGCTCCAGTCTCTGGCTTCAACTCCAACTCCAGCGCGGGCTCTGGCTCGGGTTTGTGGCAGTTGCTGTTGCTGT